ACAGCATCGCCGATTCAAATATATTGTAACAGATTATGTACCGAATGAGTTTTGAGAGATCTAGAGATTGTGTGTGATTTCGTGGTTCTAATCAGACATTATAGCCCAATATCTTAGGATATATCAAGACCACTTTCTTATATATAATTCATCGTTTATAATTGCTTTACAAATGAAGCTGTATAACCGGTACTGTTCATATAGTATACCAAGAACCGTCTCTATATAAAGGGTTTGCTAAAAAAAAAAGCAGTGCTTCTTATTTAAATCATGTGTGCAGCGTATAACGCTTATCACATCATTTGTTAAGTGTTCTGAAAATGCCAGATGAAGAGTACAAATCTTCTCACGTGACGTTTCCCACAGTCAGCTTCAAAGTCACACTCGTCACCTAATCTGTTAAATATAAAAGGCAGACGTTGGCCATGTCTTGAATGTCACCAACATATCATTTATAATCATGTTTTTGGGCCCATCTCTCGTTCATTGCTAGACTAAGCATGCCGGTGTTGTAGTTAACGCTATGTGCTTGCATTCAAGAAGCAATGTATTCGAACGCCCGTTTGATTACTCGGTATAATGACAAACTGTCTCTCCAGGAGCGTCCCGGACGGCAGGTCCATGCAAGTTCTTACCTACTAGGCTTTCAATATTATTTTTCTGCCTCATTCTAAACTGTATGATTCTGTGGTTGACGCAGCATCGTTAAATAACCAGTAGAAACTGAAATCAGCCAACTCGGCCCTGAGATCGGCTGCCCCATTGAATACTTTCACTGTTGTTAAATAAACTAATTAAAAAATAAGTGGAATCAGTTTAGAAACATTTACCACTTTGCTAACCCGCTTTTTGGTATCCTGTGCTAGTGACTTAGCAGGAAACCAGAGTACGTGCTGTGTTTAAATCTTCACGATCCCTCGGGACTTTTACCTCCCTTAAAACCGCTACTGGGCCCTTTCACGTACAGCCCCCGTGACACAAACCGCAATGCCAAGTGTGTCTGCTTCTGTCATTGTGGTTTATCCTGGCGTTGCTACGTTTTCCCGCACAGGAGTAATTTTCGGACCAGGCGGATTGAACCTCCACACCTCGGGTTTCTTCATCTCTCTCAGTAATTCGTAATTATCGCCACAATCAGTAACATTGTTTCTTCGTACCGATATTAACACCGACCATAATTCACGTTCCCAATGTTATTCTCACAATTATTCCTCCTCCTTCTCACCGTCACTCTTCGCCTTATCGTCTTCCTCACCATTATCTTTATAATTACTGTTCTTACTCATGGTGCACCGTGTCTTAAACGCTCATCTACCGATTCGACATCATAGTATCTGCTATTATTAATCTACCGTCCTTTATTTCTCGCTTCCCTTTCAACTTAAATTTTGAATATTAACTTCCTAAAATATACTATTTCTGACTAAAATCGAAAATCCGTTAAACATAGAATTAATTTTTTGTTTGTGACTTTAACTGTGAATGCCTGTCGTATTTCTGACGTGCATATCGAATTGTCTCTCTGACATACATCGAATTCCTGTTTTATCTTCGACATGTCTTTTGCATCTCTTGACATGCGCATGAGATATTTGTTACATCATTGACAAACACATCGAGACTCTTTTGCATCTCTGACATGCATGTCGAATGTGTTACATTTCTAACATAAGCATCCAATTTATGGTGTATCACTAAACAAACACATTGATCTCTGTTGCATCTCTAACACACATATCGAAGTATGTACTCTAACTTAACCGAATTCCTTTTTTTATCTGTGACATGCATTTGGAATGTGCGCTTTCTGTATTGTACATACCGGGTTTTTCGTGAGAGATTGCCACGAAAACTCGAGCTCAGAGATGTGCGCTGGTACTGGCACTACGAAGTTCATCGCGTAAGTGTTGACCACGCCCTCTCGCACGTAGAATAGCTCCGCTTGCAAGCCTGCAACATGTTAATCAGCTCTTGTATTGTCTTCATTTGTCGTCACATGAATTAAAATGATCATTATTCTCCGTCACTGAATTCGGGACTACTGTAAAGGTTATTTGAAACAGCAGCATGGCCTGACTGAAACTTTTGAAGGATGCTATGTTGTCCTCAGTATTTCTGCTTCTCTGGACTTGATCCATCATTTAGTATTCTAGAAACGAAGCAAGCGCGTTTCGGGACCTGACTTTCCTCCAGTATGCAGATAATAATTTCTGTTATGTCGGACCAGGTCTAGGGATTGGAACTAGTCGCTTCTGTCATAACCAACATAGCAGACATTGTCATCCGAAGACGAGAGCAGCGTTAGATCCCGATACGTAGTGACTTAAATTTTGGGATATTAAACGATGGATCAGTCCAGAGAAACAGCAGTACGGAAACATAGCTTAATTTGTCTTAGGTTAAGTCAGATCTGAATTCTGGTTGAGGCTGGGGCTGTTTTGGCAGACAACTGTTGTAGATTCGCTCAGTTCCTTCAGACGAATGCCATTATAAAAAAAGTTGGTAAAATTTGAGAGATAGAAATGAAAATTGTAGAAGGTGTGAAGGAATATACTGAGCCAGACACAGCTAAAAAGGAAAGAATATGATCGGCGCAGAAGGAACTAAATATTTATTTAATAAATGGAAGAATAGATGGTGACAGTGAAAAGTGATTAACTCATTTGGACAGAACGGGGAAAACAGAATCCAAAAGCTCGTATAACACTGCTACAAACCAGGGGAATATAGAAGCATAAGATGATCACTAAAAACATGTACATGAAGCCAGAACAGACTTCATCCTAATCCCAGGAGGCAAGAAGAAGAAGAAGAAGAAGAAGAAGAAAGTGCTTTAAGGATTGCCCAGATGAAACTATCGTAGATCCAGCCTTTTTCGGCTCAGTCGCTTCATTGACATCCAGATCGTGTTATAGAAGTAGTACGTAAGGTTATCGACTGGGTTTAATTGGTCAAAAATAGGACTAACGGGAGGATTTTTTTGATCATAACAATGATTTCTTGGTTCCATGTAAAAGGCATGGAATTTACTGACCAGTTGAGCGACTATCAATTCCTCATTAAGGACTGTGCTCCATTGAGTTACTGGGTTAATTAGATATATCAAAATGGTCTTCGCATTGTTTGGCGAAGTGAGGAGAAGTATTTGAGTGATTCTTGCCTGGTTCTGTGGGACAGGAACCAGCCAGTGATGTAATTACTCCAAGTGAAAACACAGTAGGGCCGATAGACTCTCTGGCAAAGCAAACGGAAACTCCGTTTTGTTTTCCTTTCAAAATGGACTCCCTACCCAATACCGTTCTCCTCATGAGACGATCTTACAAGGAATGTTCCAACATCGCGTAGCCATTTTACTTTCAGATTAGAAAATGCACATTCACAGAAACATCGAAACTTCTATTCAGATGTGTCCGGTTATAATTCCCTCCCGGTATCGATTATTAGTTAATAATAATGTGGAAGTAATTGGTTGTATTGTTTTTTCGAGGCATTACCACAGCATTTACATAGTGTTACATTTACGTATTTGCAACATTGTTATGTTGTATTGTTTTTTCGAGGCATCACCACAGCATTTACATAGTTTTACATTTACGTATTTGCAACATTGTTAGTATATTATCTGTTTTTGAAAATCTACAAATAGTGAGCTTTATGTGTTTAAACATTACAGGACCTTGTTTCCTTCACTGACATTTCCAAACACCAAATTAATGCAAAATAAAGAGGCCAGTAATTTCAAAGGAAATATTTCTTATGTATCATGGAGAGTGTTAATAGCAACCTGGTCAGTTAGGCCACCAGTAATGCATATGAATAGCATTCGTGAGGTTCTCGATTACAATTTCTCTGCGTATAGGAAACTGAAGGGATAATGCTAGTAACCCGTCGTAATACTGCTTGAGTTTGCCTATCTGTTTATAAAATGAACTCAAAAGTTTAATTCCACCCTGAAACAAAATTTTTGTGCACATAAATTATGTATTCTGTCCAACAAGTGAATTGTTTCGAATTTCATCCATATAAGTGATTAAACATATCCGATCGTGAATCGTAAAAATTTGCCAGTGGTTTATATAGACGACGGTCACTTCTTTTCGTATTCATTGGTAACCTTGTAGGCTACGTATGTAAGATGCTAAAATTTGTAGCAATATATTTAACCCCTTGTAGTTGGTTTTCTCGTTAATATGGCATTCAATTAAAGTCTGAAAGCATGCTTCAAAGCAGCTGACAGCCCTTTGAGGCAACGCAGGACTCCCACTGGGAGCCACTGAGCTAGTCTGACCCCACTTACTTTTCCTCAGAAACCATCCTCATACCGCAGATATGAATTTCATTACATGGAAGACTTTTTAAACTCTTAGTTTATTTTTGTTTCCATAGCAGTGTGAAATTCGCAGGTACCCTCATTACTGTAGACGTTAACTGGTCCTTGAAGTACATAAATTGTTAATGTGAAGAGTTTTTACTTGTGTGCTACAAAGTTGTTTGCAAAGAAAAAGGAAAGAATCAATTATGAAAACGTTTTATAAATGGCTGTTAATAAGCTGGAATAAACGTCGAGTTTACTAATTTGTATTATGAGGATTGATTTTGAGAATTGATAGCGAAGAAATTTGGGAGCTGCGTAAGAGCAGGGCAGCAATTTATGAATGTCTACTAATAAGTACAAACCCTACTCTAGGGTTATGTGTTAGTTGTTAAAATGGTAAATGTTTAGTTTGGTAATCATCTAGCAAGTGGTTTTGGTAATTTATAACTGTTTCATTTATTTAGCCACAATTTAGGTTTTCACAGTTGTGAGAATTATGATGTTACTCTTCTGGTTTTTCGGAGCCATATAAAACTAGGCAAATGCTAACGTTTCGGAAAATTTACTGTCTTCATCTTCAAGGTTGAAGATGGAGATATATACCTACAATTCTGCACGGCGCAAAACCAAGAAGAATATCGTCAATTATTTAGACAATTTGATGTTTATCAGATATTTGTTTGTTCTGCAGTCATTTCGTTCAATATTTAATAGGCAGATTTAGTTTTTTAGTCACTAAGTTACGGATTTATCTTTGTATTAATTTAAGTCTGCCACGTTCTGTGTGGAAATATAAAATCTATGTGCATTGACTGTGTTAGCATAGTATTTTAACCACAAGAATACAAGATAAATCACTCCTAGAATTTATTGTACGTCCCTCGTAGAATCTGCAAAAGAATAAATATAGAAACTGTAGTAATGTTATCTGGAAATTATTTTGGTCCTTCCAGACACAAAACCGAAATGAAATCAGTCCAGAGATAATGCTACATCGTTTGCAAGGAGGGAAGCTAAGACATTGTTTGGCGATTCAACGCTACTCACTGCTGCTACATTACAGGCAATTCTTGAGAAAACACGAGGAAGCGGGGCGAAGTGAGGGGAGAACAGTTTGTTTTGTGAACGCGGAAAGGAAGGGAAAAGCTAACGGAGGGAAAGTTTCTTTTTGAACTCCTTCCGGATTTCTTCCTAATTTCTGACGTAGCCATTCAAGCAGGAAGGCACAACATGCAGGCAGTATAATGATTGAGGCCGGAAATTTGATGCTGAGAGGCACGTAAAAGATTTCATGGTTTCTTAAATCCAAATACAGGGCGGGGTGAAAGTGTATAACTTAGGAAATTCGAGCAAAACAAATATAGATTCTGTATTGCTATCTATCTTGTTAGTTTGTAGAGTAATAAACGAAGAGGGAATTGTATTACTAGTAAATTTAGTAGATTCGGACATATTGGATTTTTATTTGCAATAAAAACTAACATTTGTAATTATTTTATTCTAGGATACGTTGATAACAGTACGGAGCATTTACAACAGAAACTCTGTTCTTTTATGTTGTCGATTCCTTTCTAATTTATGAAAAATTGTTTTGTAACAAATTATTTTGCAGGTGATATTCGTCGTAAAGTGATAAAAAGATATAGAACGATATGGATTAGGAATTGAGATAGAGCGGACACGAAACTTTCGTTGTCTATGCTGAAAGTGTAGTTCCGGTATTTACATGAGAAAATCCACAGAAAACGCGAGTGAAATATAATGAAAAATGAATTTGAGAAAGAAAGCGAGATACAAGAAGGAAGAAAACGGAAGAAGGGAAGAAGAAAGTGGAGACAGGAAGATGCTTTAGTTCTTCTGTAAGTGAAGAGACAGAGGAAGGTCAGCTGCCGCTCACTACCTAGGAACCACCTACGTACTTTGTTCTTTGGTTTCACCTGGCGATGTTTCCCAAACAGAAATGTTTTCTCTCCAGTACATCAAAGAGCAGACCCCACCATCGCACAAGAATATTACGTTACACAACTGTGACATCACAAGGATGTACAAAATGATTTACAGAGTGTATTTATGGTTTTGAAATAATTCTCACAATAAATAGCTACATGTCCCACATTACTCATTCTGCATGTGAATACACTTATTAGGTGTAGCACATAAATTATCTAGTTCCTATTATATCATTTTCTACAACCTCCTGTCATTTTATTTTATTTTTTTGGGGGGGGCACAGTTTCCCTCTGAAACTCACCATCAGGAAAACGTCGCCAGTCGTGAGCAAACTGTAGAACGTTAAAGGTGGTTGTATAAATACTGACCACTGTGCTTAGAAGTGTTAATGTACATTCCCAGCTTCGACTCTGAAAATAAATTTAAAAAAATACGAAAATGGTAGGTGATTTCTGCTGGGATTCGAACCCTGCTGCGTAATCGCGTTCTGTGGACGGAAGAGGAATAAATCTTGGTATGTTTCAATTTACAATAGCAGTGTTTGGCTGAAAGAACTCTGGAAGGCGATAAAATTCTAACTTAGCTGTTGCCATCGCTGCGGACTGTTTGGACGAGAGGGAACGCACTGTGCAGTTCCCGGACTTTTGATGGGGGGTGGGGGGGGGCAGACTGTTGGTGGCAGGTT